GCAGCAGCCAAGGAAGCAGCAGCAGCAGCCCAAAAAGCAACAGCAGCCGCTGACGAAGCAGCAGCAGCAGCAGCAGCAGCAGCAGCGAGCGGCGTTGGCCCACTTTTCTGCCCCTGCGGGAGTGGCTGGCCCCGTGGGTAGGCCCCTCTGCTGCTGCTTGGCGAGAGCCAGAGCCTCCTGCGCCGACAGCAGCAGAACTGCTGAGTCTTCCTCGCGCCGTTTTGGAGCTGCTGCTGCCACTCTGCAGCAACGACAGCAGCAGCAGCAGCCACAAAGGCAGCAGCAAATGTGAACAGAACCAGCAAACCAACTGTGCGCTCCAAGATGCGGTGTACGTGCATAGCACTGCCTGCTTGGAGGGCGCAGCAGCAGCAGCAGCAACAGCAGCAGCAGCAACGGTGCGGGGAGCAAGCAACAGCAGCCCTTGCTGCAGCTGTTGGCTTTTGTGTAGCCCTATAGCACCGTAGGCGCTCTCTCCATGGGGAAAGTAGCACCCGCAACAGCAGCAGCAGCAGCAGCACAAGCTCCACCTCTGCAGTTATCTCGCTGCCTTGGGACTGAGGTAAAGCTGTTGGGGCGGAAAAGCAGCGCGGCCCCTGCAGCTGCTGCTGCTGCTGCATGTACTGCTGTTGCATTGGATGCTGCTGCTGCATTGGATGCTGTTGCTGCTGCTGAGCTTGCAGCTGCATCTGCTGCTGCTGCATGTGCTGCCTCTGCATTTGCTGCTGCATCTGCAGCTGCTGCTGCTGCTGCAAATAAGTCTGGTGGTGAAGCATCGCTGGGTCCTCCACATGCTGGTGCTGCAGCTGCTGCTGCGGAGCAGCAGCAGCAGGCCAAGCGCGGGTGGCATGGGAAGCACCTGATACGGCTATGCCTGCTTGGTTCCGGTCTGTGTTGCAGCTGCTGCTGCTGCTGGCCCCGGCGAGCTGCTGCTGCTGCTGCTGCGCTGCTGCACCTCCTGCTGCCGACATGCGGTCACTGCCCCCGCGTCTTCTTAGAGCGCTGCTGCTGCTGTTGATCCCCCCTGCGTCTGCTGCAGCAGCAGTTGCATCTGCTGCCGACCCTGCCGCACTGCCGCCAGCAGCAGCAGCAATGCCTGGGTTCTGCAGCAGCCGTTGCCGCTCAGCTGCAAGAGTTTGCTGCTCCGCGTGCAGCACAGCAGCAGCATGTCTGTTGATTTCAACCTTTTCCCGCAGCAGCGCGCGGCTCTTGCCCTGCATCTCCTGCAACAGCAGCAGCAGAAGCGGCAGCAGCAGCAGCAGCGCTCCAGCCCTAAGCAGCCAGTAACTAGAGAAGTGTGGCTGCGGCAGCAGCACTGCGAGGGTGGCCCCAGGCTGCCAGAGCCTAAACCCTAAACCCTAAACCCTAAACCCTTAACCCTACATGTATTTGTTTGAGCTCTTCCTCCATGCCCTCAAACACAAGAGGGCTGCCCTCCGCCTTCAGGGCCTCAAGACGACGCAGAAATTGCTCCTCTCGCTGTCGGACCTGCAGCAGCAGCAGCAGCAGCAGCAGCAAGGCAGGCGTGAGGCGCAGCAGCAAATAGAAAGAAGACCCAGAAGCTCCAGGAAGTCAGCAGCAGACCCAGCGGGGCGAAGGCGCAGAGTGGCCCTCAGAAGCAAAAGCAGCAGCAGCAGCAGCAGCAGCAGCAGCAGCAGCATCAGCAGAATGAGAGCTGATGGGCAGCAGCACCGAGGCCGCAGGAGCCATTAGAGGCAAAAGCAATAAGAAATAGCAGCCAGAAAAAAGGCAAAACGAGACACAAAAGAAAAAGAAAAGAAGTCCCACCTGCGCCTCTATTGCTGCACTTGCTGCGTCCAGCTGCGCCATCAGCCGCAGCTCCCGCTGCAGCCGCGCCGGCAGCGAGAGCGACTCCTCTAGCCACTGGTCTATGGGGTCTGCCATCTTCCTGCTGCTGCTGCTGCTGCGGCTGCTGCTGCGGCTGCTGCTGCTGTGTTTGCCGCGGGGTGAGCTGTCGCCGCGCGTGCATGCGCTCCCGGGCTGCAGGAGGAGAAGACAGTGTCTCCTGTCTTCGTCAGCAGCAGCAGCAGCAGGGGCTTTGCCCGGAACGCAGTAGCAGCAGCAGGCCAGATCGAGGGGCTGCTGCTGCTGCTGCTGCTACGGCGGCGGTGGGTGCAGCCGCAGACTCACGGGCTCCTCCCTGCTGCAGCCAGCCCCACGCAGCCCCCGCTGCAGCAACTGAGCGCCGGCTGCAGGGCAGCTACGCAGGCCAAAGACGGAGGCGCTGCGGGCATGTAGAGGCCCATAGCAGCAGCTGGGGGCCCTAGGGGGGACGCAGCTGCCACGGCGGACTGGGGGCTGCGTCAGAGAGACCCAATTCAGGCGCTGAGGCCGCGCTGGGCAACCCGCTGCTGCAGCAGCTGCTGCTGCTGCAGCAGCAGCAGCTGCAGCGGCGAGACTCGTGTGCGCAGCTGCGGTGACCGAGGAGAGCGGTGGCCGTGCCCGCTGCAAAGAAGCAAGATGGCAGTTTGTCGGTCTTTAATAAAAAACAAGTCGAGGGGTCCCTAAGCAAAAGGTGTCAGCGCCAGGAGCGTATGGGACTTCGCCCCTTCACAGAAACGCCGCCACCAGCCGCAGCAGCAGCAGCAGCAGCAGCTGGCTGGGGCCCTCCCCCCTTGGGGCCCCGGGTCTTCGCTGCTGCTGCGCTGCTCGTGGCCAAAATACAATTCTTTTTGCGAATAGTTTCTTCTTTGAGCTCTCTCAGGGCCTCCCTAAAGCCAGACACTGCTGCGGGAACCCCAGCGCCGCAGCTAGATCCCCGGCCCCCCCCCTCAGAGGCCCCCAGCTGCCTGCAGCAGCTCTCTCCTCCAGCGCATTTTATTTGTTCACCATGGCTCAGCAGACGCCTCCTAGAGGAGACACGGAGGTCCTAAAGGTCCTCTTGTACGTCCCCAACCTCATAGGTGAGGGCCCCCCGCCGGCCGCCCTGGGGCCCCAGCTGGGGCCCCCGGTGGCCCCCACCGTCCACTAGCAGCTGCAGACGTGTCTGGGGGCCCCCCTGCGGCCAGAGAACCCAGTGGGCCAGCGTGGCCGCTACAGGGCTCCCATTAGGGGGCCCCCGGGGGCCCGCGGGAGCCCCTTGGGCACCAGTGGGGGCCTGGAAGCCCCCAGGGGCCCCTTCATGGCCGCAGTAGCGGCACGAAATGCCTTTATTTGGTGCATGCGGTGTGGCTGCGTGTCTGCTGCTGCTGCTGCTTAGGGTACTTGCGGCTGCTGCTGCTGCTGGTTGCTGCTCTCGTGGGGAGCCAGTGGCTCTGTCTGCTTTGCTACGCCGCCTCGCAGCTGCTGGACGCAGCAGATGGCCACACGGCGAGGCGTTTGAACCAAGGCAAGCTAAACCCTAAACCCTAAACCCTAGGCTTCTCCACAGCTCCCCCCGTAGGCTGCAGAGCAGAGCAGCAGCAGCAGCTTAGTGCCTCTTTACAGTGCCAAGAGTTCATCTCGAACGAGACAAGAAATAGACCAAATGAAAAATAGGGAGTTCGCAGGGCCCCCCAACGGCGCCCTGCAGCAGCAGCAGCGGCAGCTGCAGCAGCAGCAGCAGTTCGTTTGCGTTGGTGTTTCTTCAGTGTCGCTCTTTGGGGCTTGCTTGGACCAGCTGCTCGACCGGCTTTCTACGTGCCTCTTCTACCTGTTAAATGCTGCAGTCTGCCCCCACTATGCCTGGGGTGCGCAGCAGCCCAGGCCACTGCTGCTGCTGCTGCTGCTGCTGCTGTGTCCTCGCTGCTGCTTTGCCGCTGCGTGACGTGAGGCTTTTTGGCTGCACTTGTGTTACCTTGGCTGCTGCTGTCCGCCCCCCCCTCGAAGTCTCTTGCCTGTTCACTGTGCCTTTCTGTCCCGCCCTGCTGCTGCGCTGCTGCTGCTGCTGCTCAGGTTTCTTTTTGCTGCTGCTGACAGACGTCGGGGGCCACTGGCTGCACTTCTTTGCAGCCACAGCTGCGGGCGCCGCGTCTCACAAACAAGTTAACGAGGCCCCCTTCATCCTGCAGCAGTACTACACCCGTAAAAGTGGGTTGCAGCACGAGCAGCAGCAGCAGCAGCAGCTGCTGCTGCTGCTGCTGCTGTTCCCCTGCAGCAGCGCACCTGGGGAAAGCTCCATCGCTCAGAGGCCTGCTGGCTTTGTCTTTGTTTGCATTTGAATTGTTTTTACTGCCCCTTTTATCTCCTTCTGCCTCAAAAAAGTGCATTTTTTCTGCTGCTCAGCAGCAGTCCGTGTCCTGCTGCAGCAGCTGCGGGGTTACAGCGCTTTAGTGTTTCTGTGTCTTACAGCTAGCCAGCAGCTAGCTGGCTCGTTTTGCTGCCTGCTGCAAGCCGCGGAGCTACAGCGAAGCTGCAGCAAAACTGCATAAGCGCTGCACAAAATCTCATAAAAGCTGCAGCAAATCTGCAGAAAAGCTGCGGCAGAGCCGCAGCAGAACTGCAGCGGAGCTGCAGCAAAGCCGAGCAGCTTTGGCCGCTGCTGCGGGGTTTGCGCTCACCTGCTGCGTCTGTGCTGCTGCTGCGCGTTTGCTGCTGCAGTGCTGATGCTGCTGTGCATCATTTCTTACGAAGGTTTCCTTGTGGCTCTTTTCGTCGCAGCAAAAGCTGCCCCTGGCTCTCTCATCCACAGCGCGGGTGAGGCTCCGGCTTGAGGCTGCGGGCCATTGCATGCATGCACGCTGCTGCTGCTGCTGCTGCTGCCGTGGCGTCTGCTGCTGCTGCGCTGCTGCTGCTGCCGTGGCACCTGTTGCTGCTGCCGTGGCGCCTGCTGCTGCTGCTGCCATGGCGCTTGCTGCTGCTGCTGCCATGGCGCCTGCTGCTGCTGCTGCCATGGCGCCTGCTGCTGCTGCTGCCATGGCGCCTGCTGCTGCTGCTGCCATGGCGCCTGCTGCTGCTGCTGCCATGGCACCTGCCGCTGCTGCTGCTCTAGTTGGCGCTGCTGCCCGCTTGGCGTGTGCCTCTGCAGCAACCGCATGCGCCATTGCGTGCCTCCCATTTGCTGCATTCAAAGCGGTGAGTTTCGCTGCAGTCCTTCTTGCTGCTGCTGCTGCCTGTGCGCGCCTTCTGCACCTTCATATTGCCATGTCTGAGGCTGGGTTTCCTCTCTGCTGCCTGAGTGGCCGGGGCCGCTGCTGCTGCGCCTGCTGCTGCTGCGCCTGCTGCTGTTGCGCTGCAGCATTTGCATGCGTTTGTGTCTGCGTTTGTGATTCCTGCTGCAGCTCACAAACGTGCTTCAGGGCTACTACGGCGCCCGCCGCCTGGCGGCTTTGCCGATGCCAGCAGCAGCTTCTTAGCGGAGCAGCGCAGCAGTTGCTGCAGCTCCCCGCGAGCAGCATGGGGGCTCCCCAAGTCTCCTGCTGCCACTTAATCCAGAGGGGCCCCCCGGGGCCCCCCTGGGGTCTTCCATTGTGCGGGGCCCCAGGGGCTCTTACATTGTGCGGGGCCCCCAGGGGTCCTTCAAGTGTGCGGGGCCCCTGGGCTCCTCAGTTGTTTGGGGCCCCCGGGGGTTCCACCTCTTTGTACTGCATTCTGTTTTATCAACGAGGGTCCCGAAGGGCCCCTCACTCATTTTATACCCAAAAAGGGCCCCCCGGGCCCCCCCTGATGTACCTAGGCACCGCAAAGCGGGGCGCCGGGGGGCCCCCTGCCACGCCCTTGTGTGAAAACAGCCCTGACTCGCCTAGAGGCCCCCCGCGGCGTCTGGTGTTGCGTGTACGAAAATAGCTGGCGAGGCCCATGTGCTGATGTGAAAAGGACCCAAAGGGGCCCCCAATTGGCCACAAGAGGCCCGCAGCGTTGGCTGTTCGTGCCGCGCCGCAGGGGCCCCCGCAGCCCCGCTTGCTGGGGGCGGTCGCGAGGAGCGTGGGGAAGCCACGGCGCTTTTTAAAGTCGCAGCTGCAGCAGCAACTGCATCAGAACCATTTGTGCGCTGCGTGCGCTAAGTGTCACTGCTGTGAGGTGTCTGTACACCCGGCACGGGCCCCCGCGGCAGCTACTGTGTATCTGTTTCTCGCGGCTACTCAGCGGCTAGGCCTGCGAAGCTGAACAGGCACTATGCTGCATGCGCGGAGCGCGCGGGCCAGCGAACCCCCCTCACAGGCTCGCCTGCTGCGGCCTCTGGCTGCAGATTCCAATGTATTCAGCGGAGTCCAAAGCCTTGCGGCAAAACCTCTTCCCCGCAGTAAAAGGAAACTGAGCAAGCACAATTCAAGCAGGCCCCAAGCGCCGCATGCCCCCAGAAAGGCGCGGCAGCGGGGTTCGCTGGGCCCGGCTCCAGTGTCTGCCCAAGACCTTTTGCACAGGGGGTCCATCTGTGCATGCTTGCGAAGCAGTTTCTAGGTAAAAATAAGTGTATTTGGGTCCACTATATACATATTTTCGTATGTATACACACTCATACAAGCACGTACGTGTGCCCGCAGCAGAGCACCACACGCACAAAGGCACTGTTGGGAGCCTCGGAAAAATATCGCCAACAACAAAGTGGGTCTCGGCTTTTTCGGCTGCCTCCGCAGCTGCTGCTGCAGCACCTGCTGCTGCTGCAGCAGCCGCTGCACTTGCTCGTTCGGCCGGCAGCCAGTTTCGAAAAGTTCCTAAGCCACACGACGGCGCTGCGACACCTACAAAGTCCGTGCGAGGGGAGCTACAGCTGCTGCTGCGGCTGCGGCCCCTGCTGCAGCACGGCTCCAGCAAACGCAGCAACAGACGCCGGGGCTGCTGCTTGCGGGATTGCTTCAGTCTCCACAACCAGACGCACAGACGGCCTTCAGAGCTGGCCGGCAGGGGACAACGGAAGACGCGCTGCTGCTGCTCGTGCTATTGCAAACAGCAGCAGCAGCTGCCTCAAAAACAACTAACGAGAAGTTCTCCAAAAAAGGGACGGAGCCACGTCGCGGGGACCGTCGCAGTTTGCTCCTATAAATCGCCAAACGCTGCTGCTACTGCTGGTCCTGCAGCTGCTGCTGCAGCTGCTGCTGCCGCTGCTGCTGCTGCTGCTGCTGCTGTGCCGGCCAGACAAACACAGAAAAACATACAATGCTCGGGAGGCCTCGCAACGAGTGCCCCACTTGAAACCCCAACGGAGCGCCAAGAACGATGCCCATATTCCCGCTAAAAACAAAGGGATCTAGGCCTACTTCTGCTGCAGCAGCTGCTGCTGCAGCGGTTCCCCCACTGCTGGAGCTGTTGCTGCCAGGTGCCGCCTAGATCACAAAATGTCCACCCTTAAGCGCACAGCTGCTGCCCATGTAACTCATGAACGGCAGCGCAACGGGTGCCACCGGTTCTGCTGCTGTTGCTGCTGCTGTTGCTGCGGAATCGTCGCCCCACAACACGTCTGAGGAACGCGCTGCCACTTAGGCCTGCTCCTGCCGCTCCGACGGTTGTTGCTGCTGCTGTTGCTGCGGCTCTTGCTGCTGCTGTTGCTGCTGCTGTTGCTGCGGCTGCTGTTGATGCTGCAGCTGCTGTTGCTGCGTTTGCTGCTGGTGATGTGGCGCGGCGGAACCGAACAGCCAGGGGCTGTGGTCGCCCGCCCACCGCCCTTGGAGAAGGGCCCCAAAGAGCAGCAAGCTGTTTTGTGAGCAGCCGCTGGCTGCTTCCTCCTGATGTTCTTGCTGCTGCTGCTCGTCCTCCCGCTGCTGCTGAAGGCCTGCGTGCGGCCTGGGCTTCAAGGAGGGAAAGTCTTGAGCGGAGAAGGTGAACCCGCGCTGCTGCGGCTGCTGCTGCTGCTCCTGATGCTGCTGCTTCCGGTGCAGCTGCCGAGGATCCGACCTTTGCCCAGACATGAAGGCTCGCACGCCTCCGCCCCAAACACCGGTGCCGTGAGGCACAAAGCTGTGGGGCCCCCTATGGTAGTTCCCGTTGCCATTGGGGCCCCTGGGGCCCCTGGGGGCCTCTTCTGCTGCAGCGAAGCCCCCCGAGAGGACCCCGCCGTCAGCCGGCCGCCCGTCCGTCCTCACAAGGGAACTGGGAGTTTCGGGTTGCTGCTGCTGCTGCTGGTGTGGCTGCGTCTGCGTCTGGGGCTGCGGCTGCTGCTGCTGCTGCTGCATTCGCTGCCGCTGCTCCCGCCGCTGCAGCTTGTCTTCGCTCTCGTCGCTCAACGCGCTGCTTCGCTGGCTCACGGTGGTGCTTCTTATCTCCGTGCCCTGAATTCCCTTAGACTGCAGGTTGCCAGCAGAGGCCCCTGGGGCTGTGCCCTTGAAGAGGGCCTCTTCGCCCACGCTGCGGGTTGGGCTGCGGCAAGGGTGGGGGCCCCTCTCGCGGTGCCCGCTGTATACGCCGGGGCCCCCCTGGTGCGCAGCAAGCGGCTGTTGCTGCTGCTGCAGCTGCTGCAGCTGCTGCAGCTGCTGCAGGTGCTGCTGCTGCTGCAGCTGTTGCTGCTGCTGCTGCTGCTGCAGCTGGTGCTGCTGCTGCTGCAGCTGCTGGAGCTGCTGGAGGTGGTGTAGATGGTGGGGCTGCCGTGGAGCCCCTCCTCCAAATGCCAGGGAGTCCACATGGCCCCCCGGCGACTCTGCGGAAGCTTCGTGGTGCATGAGAAGTCTGTGGTGGGGCTGGGGGTGGCGGTGGTGGTGCTGGAGCTGGTGCGCGTACTGCTGGTGCTGGAGCTGCTGCTGCAGCTGCTGCTGTAGCTGCTGCTGCAGCTGCACTGCGTCCAGCGCAGCGTACCCGGGGGGCACGTCTTTCGAACGAATGTGCTTTAACACCTTCTGCCCGTGGTGAGCTGCACCCCCCTCGTGCCAGTGGCGCAGCAGCCCCAAGAGGTCACTGCCTTTGCAGGTGCACTTGGGGCACTGGAAGTAGCCGTCTGGGCCCCGCAGCCGCTGCAGCTGCTGCACTATGTGTCCCTTTTGCGAGATATGTGCAGCAAAAAGAGACAAAGAAGACGGAGGAAAAGCTTCTAAACACGAGGGGCAGTAGTAGAACACTTGCTTGCCCCGGGTGGCCGACCGCGGCGCCGGGCCGAGGCCCCCCACCCTGCGCTGCGGCCGCTGCAGCTGCTGCTGCGGCTGCTGCTGCTGCTCCACCACGCCTCCGGGGGCCCCCAGGGGGCCCTCTGGGAAGTGACTCCCGCTGTTGTGCCCCATGCTGCTGCACTGCGAGAGCCGCTGCGCGTAGCGCAGCGGCGAGCGGCCCCCCCTGTAGGCATCTGGCCGCTGCGCCAGCCGCTCGGAAGAGGCCCTGGGGTGCCCCTGAGCAGCAGCAGCAGCAGCAGCAGCAGCTTCCCTTTCCTCTGCGGGCGGGAAGCAGCCGCCCGCGGCCCCTGTCCTGCACTGGTAGGCGTGTAGCACCATGGGGCTCAGCCGGTACCTGGGGGTCACCGGGGCCTCTTCTGCTGCTGCTGCTGCTGCTGCTGCTGCTGCGTGGAATCCTGGGGAAATTCCCCTGGGCTGGGGCCACTGGGGGTCACCCCCCGGGAAGTTGAGGGGGCCCCCCTGCGGCTGCAGCCCCTGGCTCTGCGGAAAGTCCAAAAAGCCCTGGGGCCCCTCCGTCAGGGGCCCCCGGGGGCCCCACGCCTCCTCTGCTGCAGAGGAGCTGTACCGCCACAGCAAATCCCCCCCAGGCACTACCAAAGGCACAGCCTGGCAGGGGCTGGGGGCCCCCAGCCAGTTGGGGTCCACGAGGGGGAGCCCCACGGGGGACGGGGGGTCGCCGAGGGCCATAGGGGAGGCCCCCATTGGGGGCCCCACGGGGGGCCCCGGGGGTGGCCCCTGGGGGGCCCCCGCAGGGGGCCCCGCAGGGGGCCCCACAGGCGCTGGCCTGGCGCCCTCCGGACGGCCTATGGGCCTCGGCCGCTGCTGCACCACTTCGTGCAGCAGCTGCTGCTCGGAGCTGCAGCCCTCGAGATGGCCCCGCAGCCAATCTCGAGGCTGCCGCGCTGCAGCAAAGGGCTCGTCAAGTTGTGACGGGGGAGCATCTTGCTGCTCCTCTCCGCCGCCGTTGCTGCTGCCGTCGTTGTTGCCGCTGCTGCTTCTGCCTCCCAGCGAGAGGCGCCAGCTGCTGCTCTCGGGAGCGAGCTCCTCAGGGGGGGCCCTCGAGGGGCCGCCCGAAGCAGCAACAGCAGCAAGAGCAGCGCCCAGGAATTGCCGTATGTTGCTGTTGCTCTGCCCGGCCAGCAGCAGGTGCTGCAGGCGCTGCAGCTGCTGCGTCAGCTCGTCGGCGGCTCCGTTACACGGAGGCGCCACAACTGCCCCCTGCTGCTGCTCCTGCTCCTCCCCTTGCTGCTGCTGCTGCTGCGGCGACCCGTACTCGCCTCTTTCCGGGTTCACGTGAAGCAGCTCGAGGGACTCCTGCAGCTGCTGCGGCTGCGGTTGGTGCCGCGGGTGCTGCGTTGCTTGCTTTTGTTCCAGATTTTGCTGCTGATCCTCTTGCTGCTGCAGCGGCTCCTGCTGCTGCTCCTCTAGCCTGTCACTGCGGCTGGCTGAGTCCTCCTCCGCGTGCTCTCCTGAGCACGCCGGCTTTTGCGCGTCCATTTGTTAAATCCAGATGATCTCCTCCCTCTGGTATAAACTGCTAAATATACAGTGCATGAGATATTTCGGTGTGGTTGTTCCCGCTATGGCGCTGCCGTGGGTGCTTCTGGTGGTGCTGCTGCTGCCGGTGCCGCAGCTGAGGCACAGAAAGCTGCTGCGTGTCTCGGCACCGTCAGTGTGTTTTTCGTGATCGGACGAGCTTGAGATTTTCCTCAAGTCTCAGATAAAAGAACTAAGGGCAAAGAAACGGAAACAAGGGGGCACAACACTACACGAAGACTTACAGCACAGCTTGCGACGCGCGTGAGCGATGAGGAAAGCAGCAGCAGCAGCAGCAACAGGAGCACGCCGCGGCGGCTGCTACCGGAGTACAAGGCAACGAAAACAGAAGGGGGGGGGCAAAAAGTGTAGACCAGGAGAAAACAAATAGGGAACAGTGAATAAAAAAACAACAGACACTACCCCTGGCCACACCAGATCGCTCTCCTCCTGAGGTCGAGCCGCCCCTTGACCCGCCGCAATCAAGCCCCCTGAGAGAAAGATGGAAAAGAGATTAATAAAAAACAACAGATAAAAGGGATTAGCAGCATAGGTCAGATAAAGAGACGCAGCAGAGAGATGAAGCCAGCAGGGGAGCGGCGCTGTGAGGCACTGCTGCTGCTCCTGGCGGGCTCGCTGCGTAGGAGGCCCGCAGCAGTGCCTAGCCATTTCTCCCCTTCGTGCTGCGTTATTTATATTTCAAGAAATATTTAGCTATAATTAGTTCGTCAAAATAAGCATAATTAAGAAGAGTCACGGACACCGCTTTTTCACCTCCCAACCCAATACGAGCCTCCGGTGACCCAACGCGCCCTTCCACTGCCCCTACTTCCTGCCCAGCAGCAGCAGCGGCAAAATCAGCAGCAGCAACAGAGGTAGCTCGAGCTGTAGCTAGAAAATAGACGAGGGCCTCTGTATAGTTACAGCAACTTCTAAATTGGGCATAACAGATCTATGGAGATCGCTCATGTCAGAGTGTTAGCGCTCCCCACTGGGTTTAGGGAAGAGGCGTCTCGCGTTAGCTGCAACCCTCTATTTATTGCCTTTTTGTATTTCAGTCTTAGTATGTCTATGCAGTGCATGCATCTAGCTGTAGCGCTCTTAGCACTGCAGCTGCGATCATTCGTGCTTTCCCCGTTCGCCCGTCCTAGCTGCTGCGCCTCACGTCATCCAACACACACAAGAACAGAGATTACGGCTAATGCTGTTGCTAACTTCAGCAAGCAGCAAATTATGGGGCTTTAAGGCCCTTCGAGCACACCTGTTTCCCTAGGCAGCAGCGGCACGCGTTTTCTGACTTGCCACGCGTTTTCGTTGAAATCGGGTAGAAATTGAATAGAGCTTGCATGGCCTTATAACCCTTAAGACTCAAGGGAAGCTATCTGTCTGGCTCAGCTTTGCCTTCAGCCATCAGCAGCAAGTGGAGGCGGCTTTTGCACAGCTTTCTTTCAGCTACAGACTCCGCCCTACACACCTCCCTGTGTGCGCTGCGCAGCTGGCCTTAGCCTTCTCGCACCTCTCTTTACCCCCTAAGCCACTTTCTGAATTAGCTGGAAGCGGAGGAAGTGCTCAGCCTTTTTGCTTGAACTCCGGGGTGTCAGTAGCTGGCTTTAGGCTGGCTAAGCGAACGGCGCAGCTACGCACTGGATTGAAGAAGTATATATATATATATATATAGCGAGAATCTTCCGGAAAGACGAAATGTCAGAAACCTCCCAAGTTTTTGCTCTTCAGGCTCTGTAGGGCATTTCACATAATGGCGTCTACTTGTTTTCTGGTATTAAAAGATACTGATACTCCTCCGCGCAGTTTGCGTGGATCAAATATGACCAGCATGCACAAGTGAAGCGCCCACACATTATGTCATGCCAGCTCCGTGTGATTTTGCTGCATGCGAAGTCCAGAAACAAGTTGTATTCCTGGTAACTCACTGCCTGCAGGAGGCTGCGAAGTCAGGGCCTGTTTACGCGTACTGTAGAGGTGCGGGCAAATAGGCTGCCGCCAATTTTTCCAATTTCCTTAAAGTTCAACTTTTTCATCAAGGGCTCCCAAGGTGTTCCAGGGTAACAGAATAAAAAGATGAAAATGCCGTGACCCCTCCAGTAGCTGCCGCCTTCCTGCTCCCCAGCGTCGCCACACTATCTCACTTGTCTCTTTGCTACTTGTTTGCTCTTGCGTTGCGCTATTTCGCCTTTGAATATTTAAGGCGTTTCTCAACCAGTTCCCGGACAGGAAGGCCCTGGGTAAATTTGGCAAGATTCAATGAACCCGATGCCCGAGAGGCTAGTGTGGGTGGGCTGATGCGCCAATGTAGCTACTAGACTAAGACAGCAAACTCTATAAATGTGTATAATTTATTATAATACCTTTAAGAACTAAGATTGGCGCATTTGACGCCAGATGCTGACGGACTGCCTATCGCACTCAGTGCAGCAAGCCTACGTAGGGCGAAGAGAACAAGCATTGCAGCAATAGAAAAGCCCCAGAATATGTCCAAAATGTCATACTTTGGGCAATGATTCGCTAACCAGTGTGTGAAAGTAATTACAGTGCTTGCTGACGACTCATTTGACATTGGAAATCCTGCCATGGACTCATGCTGGGTATTGTCCACTTGGATGAGCCCCACCGATTAGTCAGTTTTGCGGGATTTGCAGTTTCTGATGCGATCAAGTCTCCTTCTTTTGTTGCAACTCCAGCACCCGAACTTTTCCCCAGTTCAGGAGCGAGCTGCCCCGGGGGAAGGTGCCCTCGTTGCAAAGGCGTACGTGCAAGATTGCTATGAAATTCTGCCTATTTCCCATCATGCGTGAGCCGTTTTGGACTAAGCAGCAGCTGTGTCGCCTCATGTGCCGCCCATGGCTGCCCGGCATGAGTCGACAACCATGTACTTTACTGCCTCCTGCTGCAGTAGCTTCCTTCCGTGTGTACAGCTGTCGCTAATTGGATAGCCTCTGTCCTCAGCTGTGCGCATGTGTACGTGGTTATGTGTATTCTTGCCTCTGCTTTCAGTTTCGTTCTTGCGCATTGCTGCACTGGGGCCTGTGTAGGACACTGCGACCCTGCTGCGTGTTCGTCCGTGCCTGCGTGTCTTCTGCATCCCTCTGTGTGTCTCTCTCTGTGAGTGATTACGTCTGCGTACTACGTGTGCATACGTCTTTTGCTGCTTCCCCTGAACACTGAGCGATGGCGTCCCGTGTTTCGCAGTGCAGCAGCAGGACCTGGGGGTGCTGCTTCCCGGCCTCCCTCTCGGCCATTCTTTCTCTGGAGAATTTCTTAAGTTTTGAGCCGACTTTAAAAGTGCACTAACCACGGAAGAAGGGAGCAAACGCAATACACACAGCTCTGTCTGCCCACCCTATCAGCCCCACCGGCATTCCCAGCAGAGGGCTGGTGACACGGCGGTGCCTGAAATCAGCGAAGGACTGGAATCTCCTTTCATTGAATACGACTTCCAATCTTTGTTTTATTTTAAATTCCATTCAACGACACGACCGAAGAGCCCCACATTCCTGGGGTACCTGGATCTGAAGATTCTTCCCCAGCTTCTGCTTTTCTTCTTCTGGCGCCTTTGCGCAGCTAGGGGCTACAGCTGCTCTGTTGATTCTTCCTGAGCTCTCGTGGCGGCCCCATGAGTCCGTATTAATATCAACGGCGCAATTCAGCAGCAGCAGCCGGGGAAACGGCAACAAGAGTAGCAATATGCTAAGGGAAACCATGCACTATGCATGCCGCCCCTACCAGCAGAGGGCGGCGTTGCTCAAACATTTTCGCCTGTGTCTGCGCAACTATTGCGAGCAGCCTCGCAAACCACAGCAGCAGAAGCTCAACCACCATCAGCAGCAGCTCCGCGATGCTGTTTGGCACAGCTGCAGGCGGCTCTCCGCGTGCAGCTTCAGCACTACGTCTGCCTCCTCCTTCCAGCCATCTCCTGCTGCTGCGTCAGTATCTGCAGGAGCAGCAGCACGCGAAGGAGTGGCTGAAGCAGAGCGTGCTTCACTCAGTAGCGCCGCAGCCGCTGCTGAACGGCCAGTAGCTGCAGGAGCTGGCGCCTCTCCAGCTGCATCAGCAGCCGCCGAAGCAGCAGCAGCAGCAGCAACTTCTGCAGCGGCGAAGACTGCAGCAGCAGAAGAGGATGAGGGGCGGGAGGCGCGGCGCCCGTTTTACTTCGACTATCAAGCCACCACTCCAGTAGACCCGCGAGTCTTGGATGCAATGATGGTGTACAACATCGACTGCTTCGGGAATCCGCACTCTTCTTCGCATGCAGCGGGGTGGGAGGCGAAGAGGGAAGTGGAGAAAGCGAGGTTCGTTTGGCGGCATCTTTAGCTGGCTGCGTCGAGCAGCAGCAGCAACAGCGCGTGCGCCTGCTGCTGCGCCTGCGTGTCTGCCTGCTTTCCACGTGCTTTGCGCTTCCTGCTGCTGCTGCTGCTGCTGCTGCTGCAGGGAGTCGGTTGCTGCAGTGCTGGGCCTGCCGCCGTCGCGCAGCCGCGAAATAGTGTTTACTTCCGGGGCCACGGAGAGCAACAATTTGGCGACGAAGGGTTTGGTGCGGTTCTACGAGCAGCAGCAAGCCCACAAGCAGCACCTGCTGCAGCAGCAGGGGAAGCAGGAGCCGGGGAAGCCGCGGAAAAGCCACATTATAACGACGCAAATAGAGCACAAGTGCGTGCTGCAGTGCTGCCGGCTGCTGCACTTGGAGTGGCAGCAGTCTGGGGGCGCGAGCGGAGCCGAAGTGACCTTCTTGCCGGTGTCAGCTGACGGGCTGGTGTCTGCTGCTGCTGTTGCTGCTGCGATCCGCCCCGAGACGCTGCTGGTCTCGGTGATCCACGTGAACAACGAAATCGGAGTTGTGCAGGACTTGCGGGAAATAGGACGCGTGTGCAGGGAAAAGGGGGTTTTCTTTCACACCGACGCTTCGCAGGGCTTCGGCAAAGTGCCTTTGAACGTCGACGAAATGAACATCGACTTGCTTTCCGTTTCCGGCCACAAGATCTACGGGCCCAAGGGCGTGGGGGCCCTCTTCGTGAGGGCCCGCAGGCCCAAGGTCCGGCTCGCCCCCATTATTGACGGCGGCGGACAAGAAAGAGGCATGAGGAGTGGTGAGCGAGGGGCCCTTGTGGCCTCCTGCAGGGCGTCGTTAGCGAAATCCGCCGCAGACCCCGCAGGCCCAGCTAGCCGCTGGGTCTGCGGCCAAAGACGCAGCCAGGAAGGGTGGCGCTGTAGCAGCAAATGCTTAGATTCGGCGCAGAGTCTTGCATGAAACCATACAAATTAGTGCAAAGGGCACGGAAACTAGTGCAAAGGGCACACAAATTAGTGCAAAGGGCACACAGAATAGTGCAAAGAGCATGCAAATTAGTGCAAATGGCGCACAAACTAATGGACAATGCACACGCAATCGCAAAATGCACACAAACTACTGCGAAAGGCACACAGCAATGTCAAAATGCACACAAACTAGTGCAAAAGGCGCACGGACAGGGGCAAATGGCGTCGCCGAGATTCATAAAGAGGCAGGGCGAGCCTTGGGGAGGCGGAGAAGGATTAAAAGAGATCTTCAAGATTTGAGTTGCTGCTGTGAGCCTGCGATGGTACAGGGACTTTGCCGACGCCTCTAATTGTGGGCCTGGGGAAGGCGGCTTCGCTGGCGCTGGAGTGTATGGACAGCGACAGGCGGCACGTGGAGCGTATGGCGCGTTTGCTGCTTCACCGGCTGCAGCAGCAGCTGCCGCACATCACCGTCAACGGCAGCCTGAACCGGCGCTACTTGGGGAACTTGAACATTTCATTTTCTTTCGTAGAGGGAGAGAGCCTCCTCATGAGCATCGGAGACGTCGCCATGAGCTCAGGTCACAAGCCCTAAACCCAATTCCCTGACTCTTTGGCCTTCTACGGTCGCAATTCTCAGGCCATAGAATTCAACAAAACTCCCAGACCTCGACTAATGGAGCCGAAGCGGGTCGTTAAATGGCTGTATGTAGTGATAGCAACGTTTGGAGGCTCCTGAAGGGGCCAGTTTTTGCGTTTGAGGGTTTAGGGTTTGTAGGCTTTTGGCTGTGCAGGAAGCGCATGCACGAGCGAGTCCCTTGAGCCTTCTTATGTTTTGAGGTCCCTTGGAGTAGGAGAGGAGACGGCGCACACATCTATTCGCATTGGCCTTGGTAGGCGGGGCGGGAATTCTGGGGGGAGCTAGAGAGAAAGGGGAAATAGCTACTATGTAGAGGGTTTTGGGGAAGTGATGGAGGTCTCTTGAGCTGCTGCTTACTGCCAGTTGCTTTTGATCGGCTCTATTTTCATTTAGTTGGGAAGGAGCTCCCTACACCTGCTGCCCTTCAGTGCCATGCCAGCGGCTTCCAGTGTTGCTGCTGTTACTTGTGCTGCCGCTGTCGCTGTTGCTTATTCTGTTATTTCTGTGCTGCTGCTGTTACTGCTGCTGCTGCTTGTGCTGCAGGCCGCTTTACGCGTGAAGAGGAGGTGCGCCACTGCGCTGATCGATTAGTCGCTGAAGTCCGTCGGCTGCGTGAAATGTCTCCCTTATATGACGCGGCCATGGAGGCGATGAGTGGGAAAACAGATGACAGTCCCAAGTTGGTTTGGACTTGAATTAAGGAGATCTTGGAGGTCTTGGGTTCCTTGGGGGCCCTGGGGGTCCTGGGGTAGAAGGGGCCTCTCATTCTAAGGGCTCCGAAGGTGTTGCCAAACGCATGCACAAGCCTGTTGAGTTGTTTTGGGGGGGCCCCGCTGCAGGGCAAATGCGCTCCTGATGGGTTCCCCAGCATTTCTTCCTAGAGTAGGCCCTTCGGGCCAGTAGTTTTAAGTCTTTGGAACGTACGGATGTGCGTTTAGCGAAGACAAATAACAGTAGTTTGTTTGTTCTTTAGGAGGGGCGGCGGCTTTATGTGGAGGTAGCCAGCTGCACTCTTTCGTCATAATAACACAGCGCATGCGCACTTGCGTATATAAACTCATTTAGCATAAACGCAATGTCTACGGAGAAGTATTTTCTTCCCTTATTTCGCACCGCCACAAAGGTGCATGTTACGGGGGTGTCTGCACCCCGTTGGTGCATGGGCGCAACACTTGAACATAATGCGCACAAGATTAGATATGTACAAATGTGCGTAAGTGCGTACGCACATGTAGAAGTTACACAACCGCTCTCATGTTACACGTGCCTTTATGTACTACTATGTGCTAGATGGGCACCCGTTTTCCGCATGTACAGCTACACAACAGCTCCACACATCACCACTGCTTACCTATCTTTTGCAGAATGAATACGCGAGTACAATACGAGGCAACTGCGGTACAAAAATGTGCAGAATGGGAGGGGACATTGAGGGACCCGCGGAGGTAGTAGGTGGTCTCGGGACCCACGCATGCATCAACTGGCTTCGTCTCAATAAAACGCGCTTGTCACTGACGCTGTAAAATTGTAGGTAGCATGAACACGTGGAAGGCGGGGTGAGTAGCGTGTAGAGCTAAGAAGATAATTTCAGAAATAAGGTTGTGAACAGATGTGTACGCAAATGAATTTGCCACTGGGGATATGCAAAGTGGGCACTTCAGCTCGGAGGACACTTCATGGCCCGTGGGAGTAAAGGTTTCTTTCACTTCTACGGGGAAAGAGAGTTTGCGGTGTAGGACACTTGTTTTTCTTTTCCGTTATTTTTGGTCTATGTGGACACGAACTTTGAATGGCTTCCTCGATATGGCAGGGCAACAGCCCATGAATCAAAGCCAGAAGGTAGTGGAGTCCAATACAAGCCACCGAAGCCGAATTATTCTAGGAAGCAGCGTCAACCTGATTTATAGGTTACAGCCGGCTATAGGCACTTCTATACCCTATTAACAGTTTTAACAAACGGAGCCGCTTAGTTAGCCACTCCAACGGCAAACTTCTGGGGCCCACGACCGGCACTCTGCTGCGCATGTCAGACATTGAAATGGTCTGCAAATGGCTTATGTAACCGCCTACTAACTTCAGCCATCACAGTTGGTTCAACTTTACAGATACAGACCCCGATACAGACACAGTTATGGCCATTGATTGCTCCTTGAGTCGAGACATATGGGGATATATATCTCTTTGAAAAGGAGGTATAGACAGATAGAAGTACACATGAAACAATGTGAACAAATTTACGTACTCCTTTTAAGGGGGGACTGCAGCTCCAGAGCGACTCTGGAGAACTGCGATCCCTGGCCCATCGCCTTAGCTGATACACATCTGTCACTAAGGGCTTTAAAGCCAACAAGAGCCACCGGCACCCTTACTGTCTTGTGCAGCAACCAGAAACACCAGCATCTGGCAGCATTTGCTGCTCTGGGCTACTTAAACGGGGAGCCTGCTGCGTACGCCGTGCATCGACACATGCAATTCTTCCTCTGTTTCCTACTAAAAACATAATAAAAAGTATAATAGAGCAGCTCAGTTGTGTTGCTGCTTGGCTTCCTGTGCTTGAAAGGCACAGCGGTCTGGGAATCGCCGCCGAGGTCCCCCCAGGGGACCGGGGCCCCCCGGTGGCCCCCGCTGGCTGCAAAGGGAAATATTAAACCAGCTAAAGGACTAGCTGGCCTTTTGCATTTCACACTATTTGACGTTTAATTAGGGCTGTATTTGCTTTTCTGGCAAACCCCGTTTTGTAATAGACAGCTTGTCGCCGCTGCTGCAGCGGAAGTCCAGGGAGTCGATAAGGGGGCCCCTGGGGGCCCCTGGGCTGCCTAACGAGGAACACATCCAGTGCTGCGCTTGCTGCTGCTGCGACTACTCGGTTGCTTCTGTACGTCAGCAGCAACAGCGCGTGCACAGCTCACGGGATTGACTTTGAAGGCCTCACCAAGCGGCTTGCCTCCTCAAGAAGGTACCTGTGCAGCAGGAGTCCAAACGCGCAGCAGCAGCAGCAGCAGCGCTTGTTGCTACTGCTGCTGCCGCTGGGCAGTGACAGGGCCGCTCCCGCCTAGTACTCAACCATCCGCTCTTGTTGACAGCTCCTTCACACACTCAGCTGCAACGGCTGTAGCAGCAGCAGCTGCTGCAGGAGCACCCGCAGCGCGTGAAGCAAAGAGGCCTTGCCGCTTCTGTCTGCATGAGACGGCAGAAGTGAAGAAAGCCGTAGCTCTAACTTAAGCTTGTGGTATGTCCAACGACACACACGGCAGGAATTGCAACGGCTGCAGCAGCTGCAGTAGCAGCAGCTGCAGTTGCAGCAACTGCATCAGCAGCTGCTGCAGCAACAGTGGCTGCAGAAGCCGCCGCTGTGCGACTTCCCGCGGAAACGGTGGCCCTTCACAATGCCTTTTGAGAACAAAACCCTTTCGAGCGCTACGGGGCTCGCCCTTTGCTTTTCTTCTACTGCTGCTGCTGCTGCTGCTGCAACAAGGCAGTGGCGTGCTCGCGTATCGCTTGGAGCTTCCGCCATCATCCCCTCAGACTTTGTATTCCCCGTTCCTCTACCTCTCCGGTGGTTTTGTAAGAACGCAGCAGATTCCAGCTAGCTCCGTTGCTATTGCTGCTCCTGCCGCTCCTGCTGCAGCAGCGCCGTCCGTCGCTGCTGCTGCTGTTGCTGCTGCTGCTGCTCCTGCGGCAGCAACAGCCTATAGTGGAGGTCCTGTGCCGCCTTGGGCCGAGGATCGTATGCGTATTCGCCATGTACACGCGTTGGTAGAAAGAGTGGAGCAACAACAGCGGGAGGAGCAGGAGCAGCAGCAGCAACCGCAGCAACAACAGCAGCAGCAGCAGGAGCAGCTGTTACAGGCCGCTGTTTGCGTTTGCGGGTGGGTGATGTCCCTCCGTGAAGGCGGCGGAGGATCTCTTGTATTTCTCGACGTGTCAGACGGCTCATGTGCTCAGCCTCTGCAGTGCCTAGTTCCAGCAGCAGCAGCAGACGAAGCAGCAGATGCAGCAGCAATGGCAGCAGCAGTTGAGGAAGGAGAAGGGCATGCAGCGCCGCGAGGGCGGAGACTTAGAAGAGGGGACTCCATCTGCGTGAGGGGCGATTTGGTCCTCGTCAAAGATAGAAGACACAAGGTCGAGCTGAGAGTCCCTCCTCACAGCAGCAACAGCAGCAGCAGCAGCAATAGTGGCAACAGGAGCAACAGCAGCAGCAGCAGCAGCACGGGCAGACATGAGGAGCCCTTTCTACCTGTACAGACCTGGGAGCTTCATGGGGGAGACGATCGCCCCCTGTCCAGCTCTGCGCAAACCTCAGCAGTCCCAGCAGCAGCCTCAGCAGCAGCAGCAGCAGCAGTCCCAGCAGCAGCAGCAGCAGCAGCCAGGACAGACGTGCTGCGCTACCCACTGCCAGTTCGGGGAGCCTCGCTGGAGTTCTGCCGGCAAAAAGGCATTGGCTTTAGATCTCGACATCCACTTTTTGCTGCAGCTTCGCGCATTCGGGCTGAGACAGAAAAGTGCCTCCTTGACTTTCTCGACGTGCGCTGGAGAACTTGCCGCTGCTGCAGTGCTGCTGCTGTGCTGTTGCTGTGCTGCTGCTGCAATCTCCCGTGCGGCTGCTGCTGCATTGGTGCTCCTGCAATGCTGCCACTGCAGTGCAGCTGCTACAGCAGCGGTTCTTGCAATGCCACTCCTGCAGGGGCTGCTACGGCGCTGCTGTTGCTGCAGCGCTGCTGCTGCAGTCACTGCTGTAGCGGCTGCAGTGCTGGTGCTGCAATCACTCCTGCAGCAGCTGCTGCACTTGCTGGTCACATGGCTTACCTAACTCTCGCTGCCCTTATTGTGCTGCAGGCTCAAGGGTTCCTGAGAGTGCGGACGCCCATCCTCACGGGTCTGGACTGTGAATCGTCGGGTGACACTTTCACTGTTTGTTCTCCTAGGGACGCCCCCCGCAGCAGCAGCAGCAGCAGCGACAGCAGCAGCAGCAGCAGAAGCAGCAGCAGACTGCTGCTGGGAAAGCCTATGTTTCTCAGTGTTTCTGGCCAGCTTCCCCTCGAGGCTCTTTCCTGGGGCCTGGGAGATGTTTACTCTCTTTCGCCAGCCTTCAGAGCGGAAAATTCAAATGTGCGCTGGTGCTGCTGCTGCATTGGTTGAGTTTGCTGCTTCTTCGAGCCCGTACAAATGTCTTTTCTTCTGCTTGTAACTGCAGCCATAATTACAGCCAGATGTTGTTACTCGAGTGCCTTTTCCCTGTCCCACCGGTGCTTTTGTTGCTGCTGCTGCTGCTGCTGCTGCTGCAGACGCAGCGTCACTTGTGCGAGTTCTGGATGTTGGAAGTTGAGGCTTCCTTTGCCAACCGGCCGATGCTGATGCGGCTTGCTGAGGGTATCCTCCGTCATACCTTGACCCACGTGCCTGCCGCATGCAAGCAGGACTTTGCTGTCCTTGCTGCCCACCGAAGAAGCAGCAACAGCGGCAGCAGCAGCAGCGGCGGCGGCAGCAGCAAGGAGAATGTGCAGACGCACGATGCACACATGGCCATTTTAGCGTCTGTCGTAAGCTTTATGTAAAGGCAGCACCTGCAGGAGAAGCAGCAGCAGAAGTAGCAGAAAAAGTCAGCAGCAGACGTAGCCTTAGTAGTTCATGCTGCTGTTGCTGCAGTGTTGGGCGCGCCAGTGCATCCATGTGCGGTTTTTCCTCAGGCTTCCCA